TTCCAGTGAGTATATTTGACTTTAAGCTTAGAAGACAAATATGAGACAACAGACATCAAAGCAAAGGGAATTGTTCTGCGAGACAATTGCCGGAGATAATTAAAAGCTACAGTTTCAATTACACTGATACATCTAACAATGGAATTCTCATGGAAGAAATATACAAAAATTAACTGGAAGAAACATAATTAAATAAATTAAATGTAAATGGAAATTAAGGCTACACGAATCATGATATTTGATTTTGGAATGATCGAATAATTGATTTCTATATTACATTTTATTACGTATATATGTAGAACGCATTAAGATATAAAAATATGTATTTAAAAGTATATAATTAAAAATATATAATTTAATTGTAATAACTTCACTGTTATTACAATTGCTAAATGGTATAAGACACGTCGTATGCTATTTATTATATGATAAATAAATAGTGTAATTAATACTGTGTGTATGATAATAATGTGTAATGCAACGTATGTATCTTTCCTCACGATTCATTTAAAAATGTTTCTCCCAATTTACTGAATAGAAAAACTAAAAACGTGCATGTATCGCAAAGGCTTCGTTAATTAAATTATTTATTAAACTGTATGAATACGAATGCTGCACATATCCATCCAAATTGAGGCTCTATTAAATAAATATTTATTAAACAATCAGTTTTTTTAGCGACATCTTCAAAATCACTTTCAATAGGGATAAATGTTCGATTCGAAAGACTCGCGTGTGAAATTTCCCTCGGTGCGTGAACCGAGGTTGTCTACGAAGAAATAAATTTAACTAAAAGGCAAAGTTTAAATTTTGTCAGAAATTTCCCGAACCTTCCAACCATCAAATTCAAATTAGAACCAATCAAAAGCATTTACCACGATTATTGATTTGATCTCTGTAGTAAAAAAAAAAAAAAAAAAAAGAAGAATTTACGTCGAGAAATATGCCAAGGGCAGCCAGAGACGATTGCAAGAAATGCCTGAGCGTGTAATTGGAATTCCGGGCGAGCGTTTAAACAAAGCGTACAAATCAGGCTAGAGCCGATACTTATGCGCCGGACGTACGTTGTTCATATCGATCACAACAGGCTGTGCTTAAAATAATACACGTTTCTGTGTAGATTTAATGGGCGGTTTAGGGCCGGTAAGTGCAGTAATTTAGACTACGATTCCACGACCATACCACGAGCTGGTTAATTATTACAGAACGATACCCGCCCATGGATATCGAACACTTTACAGAGCGTTGCGCGTTTGCATAGAGCTCGCGTTTCCACGTCGGGGGGGAGACGTCTCCAGAGATATTTTTCACGTTCTCGAAATAACGCGATACCCGTTTGGCTGTTTTGTCAGGAGATACGGAATAGCGATCGGTCCCCGTGGAAATTTGCTGGCGCATTAAAACGACGTTCGTCGGGCAGAGGAGGGCGAACGTTCGCCATTATGTCAGAACGCAAGAATAATATTTTACCAGCTGTTAAATATTGCCCTGTTGCGCTAATACGTCGAGCATCTCGTTCGTGTTTCGTTCGGAATTTGTAAGAGTTTGGAATTATGATATTCCGTGCAGTGGTATGCATTAATTGCTGCGGATTGATTTTGATGATTACGTGAACACTCGTAGTCGCAATTTGTTGTATCACTTTGATTAAAGGCCTCCTTTCGTTTTTCAATTAAATTTCGATTAAATCGATGAGCACGAACATCTGTGGAATGTAGGCCATGATTTTACATAACGTACACGTAAATATCTTCGTGTTTAAAGGAATACTTATTTCCTTAAAAAGACCTTGGCAACCTTCCTGGTTTCTATTCCAAATATATTATTAAACTTCTTTATTAAAAGAAACAAAAAAAAAAAAAATTGCGATAAATTACTGCTTCGTTCCCAGCTCTCGCTCCAACTCCGACAGATCCCTACCCGTAAAATCTACACCTCCGTTCCAGAAATCTGAATCGTGCGAACGAGATTTTCCACTTCTCGTCTTCACGACTCCACGCTCTACGTCGCGCTTCATTATGAACGGCATCCGTCTTCGCGTTCGCGTCGCTTAGCACGTTCTCTGCAGCGGCAAACAAATCACGTCCTCAAATTAACAACAAGCAGCAGTTAGTGTTGCAAAGGCGGCCGGATGGGGGGAACCGGAAACTCATAGAACCAAGACCAACTCTCGAAAATAGCAATTAGGACGGGCACAAAGATCCGTTGCCTGTCAAACGAGCCATCGAAGCAAAATCAACCGCCCTCCGTTTGTCCAAGCGCGAAGCACCGTGTGCCGCATAGTCAATCGAAAATTCGAAGGACCAATTACACGTCAGCAAGACGCACGCACATACATACATACATACATACATACATACATACACACACACATACACCGGGCTGATGGAGCAACGACGATCACGAGTGTTCGCCACATCTGTATCCGCTACAAAATCATCGGATTACAATGCTCGGATGAATCGTAATTACATAGTGTATTCACAGAGAGTAGAACGGGTGACAGTTGGAGGCGTGGTGTGAACGCAGCTTGAACGTTAGGTGTGGAGAGAGTCGACAGAGAGAGAGGAGGGATGGTCGTCTTAACAGCCCCAGAGACACGGGCTGGCACATAGAATAATAGGGTTCGTCGGTGGTGCCTGGGTTAGTCCCTGTTAGCAAGACCGAAGGTGCACAATGTATGCAAACACCGTCGCGCCACGGGATTCTCGAATTAATGCGCCTGGTCCAATAGGGCGCGCTTTTCTCTCTCTCTCTCTCTCTCTCTGTCTCTCGTTCTTCAGTTGGTTTTCGCGAATACTGCCTTGGAAACTAATCTTTATCCGGGAAATTTAGTTATCTGTATGTCATTCAGTTTTTGTGCGTCATTGGATCTTTGTGAATTTTGAAATATCGCGAACGTAAGAAAAGTTCACTCGACGACGCGACGGTTATTCGTTTTCCTTGAACTAATTGTCTGTGACAAGTTCTTGATAATTTTGTTAGTGATAGTAAATAATTAAGTTTTATCATAATTGAGTGTAAGTTGAAGTTTACTGCTAGTGCTTCAATTTATTTAACGAACTAGTTATCTGGGGAAATAGTTAATAATTTATGAATGTGAAATTGCACTTACCTTGGTAAGATCCCATTTGTACGTGTAGTTTAATCTACAAATCGAGCATTAATTTATACGTTTGATTAGGAAGACTTTTCGTTGTCTTGGTGAATATACATTGTTGGCCAAGGTGCGAGATCCGAGTTCAGTTGCAGTCAAACAGTTTTGTCGTTTGATGAGAATTTAGTCAATTAAATATTGACGTGCTAATTAGAAGATTAAAGTTAAAAATTGTTCTTAGTATAGATTACAGATATTTTTAACCTTTTTGGGAACGAATTTATTGGAACCTGAAATATAACTATTCATCAGTTGTACTTTACAAAAAAAAAAAAAAAAAATAAATGAGAAAATATTTGGAAACGCGCACGCTACTGATCGAAAGCTTGAAATCACTTCTTCCCAAAAATTTCTATCCAATTTTGTTATATATCCAAAATTAATGTTACATCATATAGATGTCGATAACGCATAACGACTCTAAACTCTTAATCTGTAATACACGTGTTCAGTAATTTTTGTATCTTTTAGAATCACAGTTAAATTAAACACAAACTAAACGTACACGTATCCGTCAGCCAATATCCGTCAAGAGATTAAACGATCGATATCAATACGTGCGCAGATTGATTACACGTATATGCATAATTCAGATCTCGTACTTTTGCCGTATCAGTGAGCAAGAATCAAAGGTGAAGCGTTCACGAAGCAAATCGTAAAAATCAACAAGACAAATGGCAAAATGAAATTTATATTGAAGAAGCGGTATAATACACAAAACATATCGGCTTAACATTCACTTACAAGTGACGACAATGCCAACGAAAATTAATCCAAACGATACATCGAGCTTCGTTTAAAACGAAAACTAAGGAAAATGAAGGCTTACACGGTTTAATAAAACAAAATGTGTCGTTAAACTAAAACGACCTGAAGCAAGAGTATAATAATTAGACTGTGAATTTTTATGCATTTATTGGAAATCGGAAATTGCAAAAATGCAACTCACGTAACATGTAAAAATATATTAAATATCTAAGGTAGTATATTTATTGTAATGTATTAATTGTTTAATGTAGCAGTGATGTAAGAAAATTTAATTTCTGAATAATGAATAATGAAGCCTGAGGCATTTTGGATGAATTATATTAAAATTATATTTTATGCCTTATTTTCACACAATTGAATGAAGATTAATCCTAGGATTCTTGAGCTTTAAAGCTTGTTAATTCACTTCTCATATGCAGTAACAAGAACTTTTGAATAACAAACTTGAACAACAGTAAACCAAGTTCCAAGAACCATTTTCACGATTTTTAGCAACAGGAAAGTAGTTTTTAACTCGACATTGTCAAATTTGCTTGAGAAATTATCTAAACTTGCTTTGGAAATGACATTAAGTGAAACAATCAAAAAAAAACTTACACCACTCTCGCATTAAACGATTCGCGTATCACATAAAACAATTTCCGTTTCTTCTAGTTACGCGGATAAAAATTCGCAGTCTGACAACAGCGCATAAACGTAAAAGATTAGAAGGTTATACTGAGAAACTAAGAAGTGTGAATCGCGTGTTAATCGTCGCCGAAAATTCCAACCAGAGTTCGAATCGTCGTTCGATACGGTCGTGAGACGATATCCGACGGTTTGGGGGTGATTCCTTTATCAAATTTTCATGGGACTTTCACCTTTCGCGGATGCATACGGTGTGCTAAGATTTCCTTCACATCCGGATTAGAGAACTCTGGCCAGCGAGAGGAAATCGCGGGCACGCGATTCGACTCACGTGCGACCGAAATTTCGGCCGCTCGTTCGGCCACATTCTCTCCTCTCTTAATCGAGAAGATAAAAGAGGGCAGGGAAAGGTTCGGATGGGACGACCAAGTGGGCGAAGGCTGGTTTCTGTAAAACAGACGAAACGTATTCTCTTTATTTCGTATGCCATCGAGTATTTATCTTACGTGACCGAACAATCCTCTTCCCCCCTCCACTTTACACGTGACTTTTTTAGCGAATGAAATTCGGACATCGGTGACTAATCCAACTAGGGCCAGGCGGTTTCGCCTATTTACAATAGATCTTTGTACAAAAACTAATCTCATATAAACAGTAAAACGCACGATTCCAAAACTCTCGTGTACGTACGTGAACCAGAACGAAGTTCGTCTTCGGGATATCCGTTTCCTCGTCAAAGTTTCTGCACACGTTGCCACGCACGCTCACCACGAAATCTGCGTTCAATGTAACGATCTTCCTTAGCTGGTCGAGTGACAAAAAATTATATCGAAAAAAATTATGGAGCTTTTTCACAGCTTTCTACTTAAAATACTGATCGTCGAATATTTTTAAGAAACGTTCTTTAACGTTAAAAAAAAAAAAAAAAATTAAATTAAAAACAAACGGGCTTTACTAGTAAGTGACCCTTTGTTGGTGAAACAAGTAAAAATTTGATGATCGTAAAAACGATTCTACTTTCCGATTATTGGATGAAATTCGATAAAACTTGAGCTGTGTTCATTAACCAAGACGAGATTCTTCGAACGATTTCATCGCATCGATACGAGTTGTTTCTGTCATTCGTCGATACATTGTAACTTAAGTGCCGACGCCATGCATGGCAACGTGTTTCAACGCACATAGAAGCCTTCACGAACCGTGTGCGTTTGGTGAATTCAACCATGCTGACCGCTCGTCAAATTGGACTTGGGCTCTTATCGAGCTCCGTTTCCCTCGTACTCTCCGCCCTTCTGTCCTCGTTTTACTCGCGAACGTGGCCCAACTCTATTATAAAAATCTGCAGGTAGAAAAAGAATGCACGATTCGATACGTGGATCCTATCACGATCCGACACACATACACACACACACACATACACACATACGCGCGCGCGTATCAAGCATAGAGTTCCTGTCTAATCATCGACGTTTCATTAACCCGGGCGAGTAACTGGATATCCACTCGTCGAATCTCATCGTGCACGCGACTAAAAATCGCAGGTCTATCCCGGATGCGAGTCCTCGTCCTGGTCACGATCGTCTCGGAATTTTCTCGTCGGTTTTTTCTCTCTCTTTTTCTTCGTGTTATCTCCTCTCGGTCTTCTCTCTCTCTCTCTCTCTCTCTCTCTCTCTCTTCTCTTTCTCTTTTGTACAGCGAATTGTTCGCAATTGTTTCGTGAAGACGCTTGGAAATTTCGCACGTCGATCGCAGGAAGACGCAACGCTGCGACAGACACGAGGCTCGCGAGAATTTCGACTCCTTTCGTTTCACGGACTCGGGAGCGACAATTTCGCGCACTTTCTCGTAACTAGCTTCTTCCACACGGACGTTGCGACGAGTCACACGGAGTTTCTAGAGTCTTTCATCGCGAGAGTCTCGCCGCGAGTTTTATATACAACTCTCTTGTATTCGATTCGAGCGTGTCACCACTTCCGGCTGATGGAACTTCCCCTGCGCGGAAACCGACGAGGAGACAGGCCTCTGCGGCATCGACGACAACCCTTTGCCTGACCTCTGGAGACTGTAGTACATCTGCAATCAATCGAACATGGTTCTTCGTTTTCGAGCGGTAAAATTTTAGCCGATTATTGAAATTTGTTGGTAAATTTTATGTATCAGATCTCTACTCGGTCTATCGCTCGTTAGTAAACCCCAAGGTAGGAGTCTATGAGATTTGTGGACTTGGGGAATTAATTTATATACATAAACGTAAGACATTTCTGACAATTCTTTTTACCCTGACTTACATTTATCACACAATTTTCTAACAACTGTGGCAGAATGAGACGACGAGTTGCAGCGTTTTTTATTTTAACTTGCATTAATGGAACTTGTGTCCTTATCGTTAAAACGGAATCTCTGAGACCATACTTTTTTTTATAGAAGTTTTCGCTGTTAAGTTAACTCGTTATTGTAAAATAACCTCTCCTGCCTTTCCTAAAGAAATTTTGCAAAATTTTTTTCTAATGACGAATAAACTCGTCTCCGTCTCAGCCAATCTTCTTTATTTTTTGGACCTCTATCTTCTATCTTCTAATATTGTTACAAGAAACAGAGGTTCTATTCATAACGTGTCTGAATAGGCAAAGGAATTTTGTATTTATTTAAACTTTATATGTAAAGACACATAAACGCGTAACTCGTAGAAAGAAAATTAATCGAATGATATACTACAAAATCGTATAGTAATACTAAAGGAATCACTGTAAATAAACATGTAACAAAATGTAGATAAATATAAATAAATGAATGTGTAAGACTTAAATAACGAGAATGTGTATAAATATTAGAAAACAGAAATGATTTATGAGCTCGAATCTAAAAATCTTATATCGTAATAATAAACAAGTATACTTGAACGTACAATGAAAAATTGGATACCACTTTGTATTTTAAAAATATTGAAGCGCACGATTTTAATGAAATCGAACGAAGGTCATTATTTAAAGTAGAAAGACAGCACGTTTTTCAAACGAGTAATATAATAATTATGCAATTACGAGTCTGAATGGTTATTCAGTTTGGCAGAAATTAGCGCTTAACCAGTTTACGATACCGGGGAGAGAGAGAGAGAGAGAGGGAGATTAATTATCTCCTTTAACACTTTCCGAAGGATGTAAACATTCTGTAAAATTGAGTTTTAGTTAATTGCGTCGAGAACGTAAAACGTTAAACGCTTTAACGGAAGGTTAGCCGGCGCGTCCTTAGAAACTTTTCTGAAAGGTAAACGTGCTTTTTCTAACTTGTTTTTTCAATGTTAATTGAGTTTGCACGTTTTCATATTGCAGCGACGCGCTCTATTTTCTTTTAATATATCAAAGCCATTCCGGGGCGGCGTTGAAATTGAAAGTAAATGAATTTAATTTTTATAAATTGCTACTTAATAACGTATCGCGTTCTTTCTACAAGAAAACACGCTCTTTATATTTCTGTGAGATTGTAATATTTAAGAACGATTATTTGTAGCGTAGAGATACTGGCGATATACAGGATGAGAGCCAAACAAAACTTTATCTTCCCGTTTCAATATCTGTTTGATTATTAATTTAAAAAATATTTCTATTGTTTTTCAATTGATGAAGATTCTATTTCAACCAACAGACAAATTTCAGTAAAACTTATACCATTGTCAAGTAATAATTGAGTAAGATTACGTTCTGTAATATATCAAGAAAAATAGGATACTCGTGTCAGAAGATACTGCTATCATAAGTAATTAAATAAGTACTGACTAAACGAAGAATTTTTTTTTTTCTAAACGCTATATGAAAGCCAAGTAATAAAGATTTCACTTTTCACGATAAGTACGACTTTATATATGTCTTAAATAATAATTCACTGAATTCCGAATAATTTTATAGGTTTGTAAAATTGATCACTTCGTATGCAACAGTTCAACGCTGAAAGACAAATAATTGGATATACTTGCACGTATCAATAAATTGTATCTTAAATGCAAATCATTCAATTACATATTACACAAGTAATATACTTGCAATAAATAAAGTGATAAAGTAATAAAAGTAAAGTATGCAAGTAATAAATTCCAATTGTTCGAATAAAATATTAATTAAATGATGTTGCGTTAATGCAACTTTTCATTTACAACTTTCCCAGCCGAATTCAGATTACTGAATTCCGTTTTTTAGCATCGCGACTGTGAGAGAGGATTAAAGGCCGTTATTAAATTTTTATTTGTCGAATTCATTTGTCTGGACGTGAATCGCCGTTATACGAACAAAGAGCAATAATAAATAAATAAATGGAGAGAACTTTATTACATAAAATAAAGTATTCCATTCTCCGACAATTCAACGTATAGATGGATTTGTACCGTGCGTTTTATTAATCTGCACAATCACGCGTCGTATCAGGCAATGAATTGCCCCCCACACTCCCTCCCTCTCGTTTCATAATTATACTTACAATCTGACAAATTCACTTGAAAATTCCAATTCTTCGATACGAGCCACATTAACAATATGGCATTTACACTTACCGCGAGCGTGCAATTTAGCCAACGCTTAAAACCGAAATGCTCGCGGAAAAATCGCCAACGCGTTACGTTACAGCGCGCGCAGCGATCGATATTGCAATCTATATCGTATCCCAGAAGCTGCATAAACTGTTCGCTCGGAAAATAACCGAAACTTCCGATTTACGATACGGCGCGAAACGCTGGGCAGGGGGAGGAGGGAGCGAGAGCCGGCAGCGAGAAAGAGGGAAAAAGGAGAATGGTAAATGCAAATGCATCGATACTTGTGAAAATTGCAAATTCGGGGTCGGAATTAATAATGGAACAGCCGAGCGAACGAGCGAGCGAGCGAGCGAGCGAGCGAGCGAGGCGCGGCGAACGACGTCGAAAATAATCGAAAACCGCGCGGCCGGGGCTTGGTTACGTAATCCCGAGGAAAACAAAAAACAGCGGGAACGAGAAAAAGGTTCCCGGGAGGGATATCCAGAGATGGGATCGTCGTGTAAGTAGGCCCGAATCTTTAGTTATTGAATTCGAGCCGGAATCAGCTGAGATATTTCCAGTGGATACTTTCCGAGTGTCCTCGAGACGTCTGTTAAGTTAATAAAATAAAATCACAAGTATCATGTAATCATCGAATCTGTATAACAGAATCCCGGAACATTGAGCAACACTGTTTGACGAAAGTTTCGAATTTCCTGCAAACGTCAAGCTACTTACGAGAACAATACATAGTGTGTATTCATTGAACACGGCTTAGAAAGGTGTTCACCGTAGAAGTGAATGCAACGAATGAATTCTCCTACGTTATACACGCAAGAATACGAATACGAGTGTTGCTCGTCGAAACAGTTTTACCTTCGAGCACAATGCTCGGCGAGACCACGGAGCGAAACTTCACCTCGTCGAACTTGACTCGGATTCGTAAGTACATATTGGACTTGATCCCATTCCTAGGAGTATCTGATTCGGTTAATGAAGAGGAGTAACGCGCTGTCGAGGACGGGCAAGTTGAGCGGGTATTAAAATTATTCAGACGCTCGAAAGACGCGGGGGGATGAGAAACGGAACGGAAGTCGAGCCGAAGACTGAGTTACGCGCATCGGGAACTGGCCCTCTCGAATTATCGAGGGAAACTTGGACGTAATTAAACCGGCGGAAGCGTAGATAACCCAAGGCTTTGCTAAACAGGAAAAGTTAAAGTAGAAGACCGCCGCATATTAAAGCGACGCGATCCCTCGTCTCTTGGCTCGCGTCCCAGCCTCTGGCCTCGCGGTTCGTCCCCCTCCCTCCCTCCCGGAACGTCGAATATTTAAAACAACCATGTCGGGTTCGGCTACGCGAGACCGTACGAAAGAGAAAGGGAGAGGAAATATTGGTCGCGATAAAGAAGAGAGGAATCCCGCGTCGACGAGGGAGGATCGATTGTATTACTTCCCCGTGGCGAAGAAGAAAAAAAAAAAAAGAAAAAAGAAAAGAAAAAAATAGGAACGCGATCTCCCCTGTTGAATATTGTATCACGTTTTATCGATCGTTTCGTTCGGTAATTCCGTTGCTTCGCCACCCCCTCCCCCCACTACGAGCCCCGTCGTACCACCATCGCTCCCTTTCTCTCTGACACTCTTCCGCGGCCGAGGGGAAGCGTTAATTGCTTCTCATTAATCAAACGGCTTCGACTAAATACACTCTATTAGATATCGCTAAAAAAGGGACCCGATTAAATTTACAGACCGTAATGAGTTTACGGGGCTAATTGTCGGAATGATTTATACGGCCGCGGGGCCGATCGATTAGTTCCGCTTCCGGGGTATCCGGGCTTCCCGGGCCCTACATTTTTGTCATTCCTCCGCGCGTCGGAATGCGAACGTGAACAGTGGAAACGACAGGAATGAAATCTGTATGATATCGGAGGGATTGTGCCTCTTTGATTGGTGCATTCTGTTGTTTTCTATCATTCTCTTATGTTTCTCTTTCTGTTATTTTTCCTCCTTTTCTTTTTTTTTTTTTTTTTGAATTGTATCGCAGGTAAAAGAGTGGTGTCAGTGAATTCTTGCATCGAAGAAGTGGCCTGTATCGGTCGGAGTAACTCGGGAATGGAATTTGATTTTCGAATTTAATTTTAAATCCCTACATTTTTAATGAAACTCACTGTCGCAATTGCAGAGTTAATATTAACGTTACAGTTCGCGAATGTTAGCTACGAGACATGTTTATTCCCGTATCTGTTAAATGTTTAACTTCCCTCGGTACTTTTCACGTACAAATGTAACTTACAATGAAATTAATTTCATGTGGTATCGCTGTGCTTCGAAGGGTTGTTTAAATTTTGATTTTATGAACGACATAAAATATCGTTCCGTTACTGTTTGACATTGGCAAATGAATGGTACGCATTAAACTCGATATTCGACAACTGAGATATTTTTTGTAACGCGTTTTGCTGAATATCGCAAGAACTGTTGAATTTTATTACAAATATGCTCTGCAGATTTTTATACATATGAAAAAATATATGAAACGTTATTATTTATTTAATAGAATAGCTTGGTTTGGTAAATAATATTTAATAGACGAAACAAATTTCTATTTAGATTGTATTCTTTTAATTGCGTTTATAAATTCATAGAAATCTGTATAAAAATACAAAATATTCAATAATTCTAGCATGAAAATTTGCTTTCGCGGCAATAGAAAAAAAAAAATATAAATGCTATTATACTGAGTCAATATACATATTACATACATATTATTATTAAATTGTTGTGCACGAAATGACCAATCTCATAAGCGTACAATATCATTCGGAATTCAGTGATCAAGGACCAATGCCTCGTTTAGATTTCGTAATTTTCGGTCAATCAATACACAATCAAATTCTAATTTTTATTAGCTACCTATAAAAAGAAATTTCAAGGATTCATCTACTATTTTTTACATCTCCCATCCAGATCCTCTGTAATTTTACAAAATTTCAAGAAATATCAAATGATCCTCAACAAATTATCCAACGTTTTTATCAAAAATATATCTACAATTTTCCGATTGTGACAAAAAGAAAAAAAATAAGAGAGAGACAAAGAGAAGAAAAACTCACGAAAGACTTACGTTTTGGTTGTTTCGCTGATTGTAAGCGTCCATTGCCATCTGCTTGAAGTCCGCCATAGTGGGTGGATTGCTGTAAGCGTTCGCTTGGGATACATGATTCTGAGGATAGTTTATGGTTGGCGTTGGCAGACAATCGGTCAACATTGGATCCGGCGGTAAATCTAAACCGTGCTGCACGATCGGCCTTTTCTCCGGCGAGATCGCCTCGTCCATAACGCGATCCTTCTTTCTTCGTTGCGGCGGTGTCTTATATATCGGAGTGTACGTTAGAGGTCTTCTCTCTGCGAACAGATTCGAACGAAGCCATGTAAAGTTGCGCCCGCTAAGCAGATTAGTCGATTAAATCTAGACGAGAACGGTCTCTCTCCGCGCACGATACAATACGGTACGATACGATACGACGGAAGTTTACAACTAGCGCCAGCTTTATTTAATACATCATCGGTATACCGCAGCGCGAATTTCAGGAGAATTTTCAAAAAATTTCCTGAAAGAAATTTCGCTGGCGAATGGCTGGCGAAGCGAAATTCACGTTTCTCTTTGAAGACTGTCGCGCACAAATTTCATCGCAACAATGAAACAATATAATATAAATATTAAACGCGAAGAATATAAATAGAGTGACAGATCTCTCATAAAAATATATTATAAAATTTATATATGGTGCAAGCTAGCTCCTCGAAATTTCCAATAGAGATACAGAGGTGCGAGAGGACTCATTATAAGTAGATTGTGAATTCATACGTTCTTTTTAAGTAGATTTTGAATTTTTACACCGATATGGAAAATTGCAATATGACACAGATTGTACAGAGTATAAAAGAGTTTCTTGCAATTTTTGTTACTGTGATTCTATTTGTTTAATCGTATTCTTCTGGATATGGAAATTTAGATAAAGATCCATCAAATTGTAACTTATCACAGTTTTACAAATAACTCCATTTAACAAAACTGCAGTATTTAATTATATGAAAGGGAAAAGATAATAACAAGAGAAATTTTGAATCACAATCTGAAATAACAGAGTTAAATAACATAAACGAGCCGGAAAGTATTGCAAATGAAACGTTGCATCAACCGCGAATGTGTTAACGTTTTAAACGGCAGAGAGAGAATAAATCAAAGAAATTTCGTTGAAAAATGTTGGAGGTTCAATCTTCAAACTCCGAATTGAAATAAAGAGAGAAATATCTTTGTAATATCACGTTTCAAGGGGAAAGGAAAATTCTCTCGTGCCTGTTCTGTCATTTCGTTTTTTTCTTTCCACGAGGTATTGCACGTCAAAGCTTTCGACGAGCAGTGCGTTTGCGTTCGGCCGCGTTAATGCTGAGATAATAATGTAGAAGTTTGATGAGCACACATTGATCACTATTCACTGTGGATAAAGGCATCGCATTTCCGATCTATTAATGTGTATTGAAGCGTATCAATTTAACCTGACAATGCATTTCGAAATTCATTGCTACGCGACGCGGAAATATCTTTGATGGAAAAAGAACGGCAAAGCATTCGCTATTAACATTCGGGGATTTGAATGAAAGAAGATGGCAATACGCTATCGTGCGTCCCTATCGATTCTTCTCTCTCGTTCCTGTTCGCAATTAAATATTTTTCCAAAGTCAAATGTATCATAATGTTGAGTTATTGAATTTTCAGTGTAATATTATACGCCAATCCAAGAGTGTAACTGAATTATTTTAATGACACATGATAATAATATAATACTGAATAACAATACACTGTGAAGACAGTATTTCTTTCGTTGTTGATAACTGACATTGTTGAAAAGAAAAAAAAGAAATAAGAAAATATGACATTAACAATATATCATTTAAAATATTTCATTTGACCAAGTCTAACTTAAGTATAAAGTATTAATTATTTTAAAAAATTCCATCAGTTAGATATTTAAAAGAAAATATAGCTGTTCGTCCGTTCTACTGTTTCCAGATTTTCTAATTTTTCAAACGATATATTGAAAACGGAACAGAATGAGGAAAATATTAAGTTACTTGACAGATGACATTCAACTTCATAAATGTTTTGTAACCGATAAACTGCATCCGAAACGAACAGACCGCAGGATTTCCACTCTCAATCAAACGATTTAACGAGAAAAGAGCGTACGGTATTTCAAAACCAATAACAATTCTACGAAACAATAATAATCTGTCAAGGACAATCATCTCATAAGAAATCTTTATTTCTAAAAATTGTTCATTTAATCCAGAAATTGTTGTGGTGAGAAAACATTACGTGATCTGTATCTCGCGACGATTATCTCAACAAATTCTTTGAGAGATAAAAATTGTAACAGAATATTAAATTTATACTCTTGCACAAAATATAGCTGTCAAAATAATCGAATGGCTTCTTTTCTTTAAAATAATAAAGTTAAAATATAATTAAATTATACCAACTAAAGTATGTTAACTATACTAGATGATAAAGTATGTTAAATACTAGAAGATAATTCTATTCGATGTGACAACACGTTATATATATATGTTTCAACGTTTAAAAATTTTACTGCTCATTCTACATTTCAGAAATTAAACATTTCCAATTCTATTCCTTTATATTTAAATTTAATGTATTTTAATTAAATTTGACATATTTCTCCATCCCTTTCCATATTAAATTTGGCATATTAAAATTCACTGATGAAAGTTTCAATTATTTCTATTACCTGATCTTCAACTCAAGATTTCCTTAGAAATCTCGCGGTTGAAAAAATTCATCATTTCCTTTTTAAATCCATATAAGAAAATCAATTTAAAAAAAAAAGGAAAAGTAGTCGAGAAATCAAGAAATTGCACGTGCTAGTGATGCAGATATATGTATGTACGCGCGAAATATTGCGATTGTTCTACTTGCGCGAATCATGGTTGCCGATCGCCGCGTACAATTAAACAACCAATAAAGTCGTAAATAATAAACAAAAAGAATTAAAACATCGTATGTGTTGTGCAGCTGTATGCACTAATCTGTACAAGTGTGCACACTATTTTTCAAAAATATGAGATTATTCATTCGATGTAAAAAAACCTTTCTTTCATTTGATCAAAAAATCATAAGTGATTATTATGTGAAAAAAAATTCGTTTCTGAAAATTTCGATATTTTTAAACAGTTAAACACGCCAATCGAAGCGATTTTAAATTTTTTATATACAGTCACTGAGAAAATATGCAGGCAGTTTTGGCAAAATTAATATTGACTTTTATCGGGATGGAATTTTACATATTTATGGGAAATTTAAACGTGCAAATATACGGATTACGCGCAGTATGCAGAAATATTTAAATATGCAAAGTATTAAATTGGTTATAAAATCAAAATGGTTTGAATGCACTCGTGTTTTCTAGTCAAACGGATATACATTAGTTTGATCGGTTAAAACAAACTTGCGTTTTCACCAATTCACAAAAGAAGAATTATTTTTCTAACTGTATTTTCAAGCATTTAGGTTTCCAATTTTGGACATTTCCATACGTCTAATAACGCAACGTTCAACTAGAATTTTCTAACAATATTGGAATTTTACTGGCATTTACTTGTATATAAAAAAGAAAAAAGAAATTCTAATTCATCAATAGAAAAAAATGGTTCTGATACAATAATGGATGAACGAAAGTTTAAAATTTATCTATATCAATATACATATATTGTGAATGAGAATTAGTAATTTTAATATTAGACATTTTCTTTTTATCAACGAAACATTTATTTATTTTAATGTAATCTATTCACTGTTCTTGTTGAGGGGACGGGCAACAGAGTACGAGTCAAATTTTAATGGAAATAATCATCAAATCACCATTACTTTGAAAATATATTGTACTTAAGGTACAAATTATATTTGGAAATATACAGTAAGATAAGACCGTTATGCTGTAACTTTTACATCCATAACATCTAACTCTCGATTTTTCACTGTACTTCAAGTTTAAATATCATAAATACTTTTCTGCAAAATTCTATCAATTCTACCACAAGATACAATCCTATTCTGTGAGATTATCTCTTATCTCACTTTTCAAATATTTCTTTCTGTCCTCCACTTCAAATATTCTCTATACTACCTGGATATAACCAAGAAGAATGAAAAGAAATAATTAAAACTAAATCTAATTAGCCAACTGCACGTACGTTTCTCTATCTACGTAAAAGAATGATCAAAAATTCAATTTTCTCCAAAACTAAGCGTCATTTATTTATATTTCTCATTATCTTTCTACACAAAGAGTCACCTTCTCTCCAATAAATAAATCTCTCTGTCAATCAGCCCGTACGTGTATTGTAACTGTGCGCGCACGTAGGTAGACCGTAATTCGGCCGAACATTTCAAACAATCGGAAAGCCGTAGACTCACCGTACTCGTTGGGTATGATGTCCGGATCGATGTCATCGACCGACTGCTTGGTCTGCGGGTGTACCGGAGTAGTTGCACCTGCATTAGGTGGCTCGCACACGATGGGAGCGTGCTTTGGACTTCCTGGCCGGCCGTTCGAGTGCTTCCGGTAGAGCGCCGCCAGGATTCCAGCTACGGCCAGGGCCAAAAGGGTCGCTGTTGTTGCCAGGCCCAGCAGCAACGGGCTCAGCATTGATGCGTCCGTGTTCCCTGTCATGGCAGCAATGCAAAATTGCTCGATCAACCGGAACTTCCATCGGGCTACCTATCTGCTCTCCCTTCCTCTGTTTTGTCCCTGTTTCCCGATTATTGCGGCAAGTATAGTTTTACCTCGCGGTGTACATCCGACTCTCTTCGCTTTCTCCAACCCCTTCGCGCCACCCCACCACCCCCTGCGGGCGTTCTCCATTTCGTTTTCGAGCGACGTTTGTCGTTAAATTTATCGTTTTCACCGGCACTGCGAAAGTATTCGAACGCTTTTGGAAACGCCACGTACGATACGAAACACTTTTAGCTTTAGCGGAAATCATTAGACTATGATTGTCTTTGTTACAAAAATTTTAATTCATAAACATTCACACATGATACTGAAAACAGTCCATTCATCACTAAAATAACAAGAAGTTAAAAGACACGTGTTTTTAAAGGTTACTTTTCGTTTCACTGCATTCAGTCTTTCAGTGACCACCTTTCAGTGTATTTTGGTGTACCATATAAGTGGAATGTACTATATAAGTCAAAACCTCCATACAACGAGGTGAAATTCTTACGTGTCGGCTTCCTTCGGTGCACAACGCGGCGCGTAATCAGCATCCAGCTTTGGAACGCGCGCGATACGTGCGTGTACACGCGTCACTGCACGAAGTTGTATCATAAATCAGCCGTTAGGGGCCGCGCACTCGCTTCGGGCTTTAATCGGGCTAAAGCTAGTCGCGCCGGTGTCGCGCGTTGTAAATTTTGTCCCGGCGCGCGTAATCGTTGTGAATTATTAAACGGCCGGCGTCGGTTTCGCACGAGTAGTGCCCGCTCACGCTCCTCACGGTCCTTTTCCCGCGAATTTTTCCTGTTGCTATTTTCCCCCTCGCGTGTCCTCTCCCACTAGCACGCTACCGCGTCTGCTAATTGGTGTTTGCGTTGAAAATATTTGCCAGCCGGGTATTAATAAGGTTGTTTGATTTCGTTAGGCGGCCTGTTTGCTCGCTGTCAGGCGAACGGATTATTCGTTTGCTATTAATTGGCTGGTATGCAAAGGCATCGGTTGCATGCCAGTGTCGTTCATCAAAAAAAAATAGCCTTCCTTCCTGTTAACTCCACGATGAGAACGTTTGATTAATTTTTAGACAGACTGTGGATTTTTGTAGATCATCTGAAGATGTGAATATGCACACTTGATGTATAAGATATTCGAAATTTATTAGAATGAAAGATATGAATTTGTATAACTATCCATAGTCTAGTATTGTTTCCTGACAGCACAGGATATATTAATTATTTTCGAGATTTGAGTGATTTCTTTGCAAGAGCTTCTTTTTTTTCTTTTTTTTTCTTTTTTTTTTTTTTTTTTTTTTTTTTTCAAAATTTTTTTTTTTTTTTTTTTTTTTTTTTGCAGGAAATAATATGAAAAATGTGACTGACAAAAAAAATCCACTATAGTTTAAATTTATTCATATAGACATTTAAAGAATGTGTAATATTAAAATATTTGCAATCTGCAAATACTTGTTTTTTTTTTTTTTTATACTATTCCTATCTTTGTGTTGGATTAAAACCACGTTCCTCTCATTTTCATGGAAATTTCGCGTTCATTCTGCCATTTCGTCCGAGAAAATCGATTTGGAAACTTCACGAAATGAAATTAGCGTTGGGATGAAGCGAGAACGAAAATAGTTGTAAATAAAGGGAAACGTGCGGTGTAAAGTTCAATGACTACTCGAATTTCGATCTCCGAGCCTTTGACACGAAAAGGAAAATTTCAAAGGACCGAATATTTCGAATCACTTATTTCCAATATGTCAAACATCCAGCGCAAACACGCTAGTCGAAGCAAATATTAACAAGTACGTATTTTTTCAATTCGAACGGGCTTCAAAAGCAAAAATCGTAATTCGGTAATATTAAAACAGAACGTTGCAACGTCGCCGATGCAATATTACTTATATTACTTTATATTTATTAAATATCTGTGAATGTTTTTTTTTTTTTTTTTATTTCCAGATCAAACGTAGAATCAAGCGTGGATACATCGCTGAGTTTTCAAGTTTATTGCTTTTCGTTATCCGGAATTTAAAAAACGAATGAACAAGTACTTAAAGTAATTACTAAAAAGAAATTTAACTTTATAGTGTTATTGTTAAAAACTTAACTTTATAATGTTATTGTTAAAAAACTTTAACCTTTAAATTCGTTGCGCTGTCGAAAAATCGAGCTTTCAAACTCGCATACATGAGCTTTTTCTCCAATAAAATATGACGAGCGGATGAAAAGATCAAAATAAAAAAATTCTGAAAACCTTCTCCGTAAAAATTCTCCACGGATTAATAACCTGTTTATTGCTTCGTAACGGCGAGAACAGCTCATTCAGAATGCACTGCTCGATGAATTAATCTAGCATTTTTTGTCTGCTAGGGATTGAAATCAAGAGAATATTGGCAGTTTCTTGTGCGTTTAAATTTTAAAGATAAAGAGAAAAACGTCTAAACAGACAAAAGACGACAAGAAGAAAGAAACTATGATTCGTATACAAGTTACGAAATGAATTCTTTAATAGCTTCTCCAAATGTATTTTAATATATATTCCAGATGAAAATTTCAATTTTATCGAATATTGTTTCATTTGAAAAACAGACAAAAATTGACATAAACGTATTAAATACTGTAATAATACACTGGCAGATCTTCGAAAATTTTATACGAGGAATTCATATAACTGCAATAATGAATGAATATTTTAATTGATTAATTTTATCTGTCATTTAAATATAATTCTACAAAGGATTTCATGTTAATTGAATTTAATTAAAGTCGTACAATGAGACTGCTCGATTTAAATTTAAATCCCAAGATAAACCTACCGATAAAATTAACATAGGTTATTGTCCAAAACGTACAGAATATTCTCTGGAAATAAACGAATTTCACGGTATTATTAAATACTATTCCATTAACGATAGTTAATAATTTCTTTCATTAATCTAACGTTATCGTACTAATTAATAACAATGTTATATTTTCAAAAATTGTGTAATCGAATTCTCCCTACAAAAAATTTTATGTAGGTAATTATATAGAATAATTTGTAGAATTCAGAATCTTTTTGAGTACCACGGAGTAAAATTCATTTAAAGTTCTTAATAGCAAATAATTTCTTAATGAATAATACTGTATTTTATTATTCAATTTGAAGAAAAGAAAAGAATAAATAGCGGACAATATTATTTTTAATGTCTTGTAATAAACTCTTCTTTCACTCCACTCATAAATGCTTAAACACTTTATGTTACATGATCGATTTATATTACAACAACGACAACTAAATAACGATTAAAATGTATGAATTAACGACGAAATAATTTAATGACAGCAATGCCATAATTACTATCTTCATGCGAAATCAATATATCATGAATTTAAATTGTACATTAAACGGTTCATTAGTAGAGCTGTTAGCTTCAGATACGCTACTTGAATTAATCGCCTTTTACATGAATTTCATCAATTCAAAAGAATTCTTCCCTCGCGCTTCCAATCTAAAAATGAAACTAAATTGCTAGTGAAAGAGAGAAATAAATAACGCAAAGACGAAGCTCCATAAGGTGTATTATTACAATTACATGCGCGGTTCGTTTTAAATTTTAAAATCGCCGTCGCGATATTTTACGACGCACGACTGTAATAATAACAGCGTGTTAAAACCGTGACAACTTTCTTCTATCTGAAAATCTCTCAATTAAATTACACGCTGTCAGAAACGAGAAAACTTTCAACTACTTATTTCTGACACGGTGTAATTTGACTTGAAAATTATGGTGGTTTAATCATTACATCTTGTATGTGTAATATAACATCCTCGGACGCGATAAAATCGTTTAAGGTCAACATGTAATAACAAAATTAATGTTCGCAACTTTGTATGAAACTTACTACCTTTGGCTGATAATTTTTAGATTATCAATTAGATGAAGAGAATCTTTTCAAAGTACCATGATTAATTCTTAATTCTTAATAACTGAATGCGAGTGTATCGGTAAATCGTATATTTGATTGCAATGTAGAGTAATGAACGTAATTCTACGACGACGACTGCCTTCTTGACGGATTATCGCATTTTACCGTGAACACCAACTGAATAATTCACGACTTATTCAGAATTTGTGCAGCATTGTGTGAGAATTTGAACGATATTTTACACATTTCGATGGAATTATGTATGAAATTGATTGAGTCAATGTCACGATTATACAATTATTATTATTACAATATCAAGATTACCAATATTACGTCAGTGCCTTTTCAAGAAATTTCTGTCACTTGCTATGAATAATTTTATTTCCTCGTTCGATCACAAACAGAGCGTACAAACATATATATATGTAATTATTCGTTACTTAATTATTCGTGCGAGAGTTCTTTATCGAAAGCTAGAATATAACAAACGTGTATTACGAATTTTCGATACGTGAAGCAATTGATCGTCGTAAAAAGTCGCGACTCGATGAAAGAAACGAGGGGAAAAGGGAAAAATTTTCAACCGAGAAGAAATTTAAAACATTTCGTTTAATCATGACGAGACAGACGCGCGTGATCTGCCTCGAAAGGGGAGGAAAAACGAGGGGGCCGAGCCCGATCGGTAGAATTTAATTCAGCCGTGTACGGCTGTCCATATTCGGACGGTGTCGACTGATCGGTTGAAATTTTTATAAAAGAGCCATAAATCCAAGCGTGACTCTTGCCGAGAGCGTGCGCCACTGTCACGGATCGTGTCGCGCAGCCACGTCGGATTCCCGTGGCGGACGTTAAAGTTTGATTAGACTTTGATTGCCGACAGAAAGCGGACCAATTTAAACTCTACCCGACGAGAACGAACGTCGAGCGGTGGTGTGCACGACGAGATAAAAAAGAGACGGGACGCCGTCCCCGTGAAAAGGTAGAACGATAACGAAACGACATCCGGTGATCAAGCAAGCGTCGCGCGCCACCGTCGAGCAAGAATT